GGGGAGCAGTATAGCAGGGGACTGGGGTTGGGCACAGGGGTATGTACAGCATAGAGGGGGAGCAGTATAGCAGGGGACTAGGGATGAGTACAGTATAGAGGGGGAGCAGTATAGGGGGAGAGAGGGCCCAGTCTAGAGGGGTCCTGGAGTTGGGCACAGTATAGAGGTGGAGCAGTATAACAGGGGACTGGGGATGGGCACAGCACAGAGGGGGAGCAGTATAGCAGGGGTCTGGGAATGGGTGCAATATAGAGGGGGAGCAGTATAGCAGGGGACTGGGGTTGGGCACAGGGGTATGTACAGCATAGAGGGGGAGCAGTATAGCAGGGGACTAGGGATGAGTACAGTATAGAGGGGGAGCAGTATAGCAGGGGACTGGGGTTGGGCACAGGGGTATGTACAGCATAGAGGGGGAGCAGTATAGCAGGGGACTAGGGATGAGTACAGTATAGAGGGGGAGCAGTATAGCAGGGGACTGGGGTTGGGCACAGGGGTATGTACAGCATAGAGGGGGAGCAGTATAGCAGGGGACTAGGGATGAGTACAGTATAGAGGGGGAGCAGTATAGCAGGGGACTGGGGTTGGGCACAGGGGTATGTACAGCATAGAGGGGGAGCAGTATAGCAGGGGACTAGGGATGAGTACAGTATAGAGGGGGAGCAGTATAGCAGGGGACTGGGGTTGGGCACAGGGGTATGTACAGCATAGAGGGGGAGCAGTATAGCAGGGGACTAGGGATGAGTACAGTATAGAGGGGGAGCAGTATAGGGGGAGAGAGGGCCCAGTCTAGAGGGGTCCTGGAGTTGGGCACAGTATAGAGGTGGAGCAGTATAACAGGGGACTGGGGATGGGCACAGCACAGAGGGGGAGCAGTATAGCAGGGGTCTGGGAATGGGTGCAATATAGAGGGGGAGCAGTATAGCAGGGGACTGGGGATGGGCACAGTGTAGAGGGGGAGCAGTATAGCAGGGGACTGGGGATGGGCACAGCGTAGAGGGGGAGCAGTATATCAGGGGAGCACAGGTAGGCACAGTACAGACAGCTGTATAGCAGGGGAGCACCTGAGGAACAGACACGGTGCCCCAAAGAGACCTTATAGAGGGGTCCAACCACTGCGTGTGCCCAGGGGCCCTATGGGGTCTGCCCCACGTCCCCCTGGGTGTGGGGCAGGACGGTGTGGGTGTGCCCTGGGGGGGTGGGATGGTGATGTCCCCCCATGTCCCCCCCCATGTCCCCCCGCAGGCCTGCGCAACGCCCCGCGCTGCTGGGATGTCATCCAGCCCCTGCTCTGCGCCGTCTACATGCCCAAGTGCGAGGACGGGCAGGTGGAGCTGCCCAGCCAGACCCTCTGCCAGGCCACCCGGGCGCCCTGCACCATCGTGGAGCGCGAGCGCGGCTGGCCTGACTTCCTCAAGTGCACGCCCGACCGCTTCCCCGAGGGATGTCCGGTACGGAGAACGCTCCTGGAGTTGGGAATGCCGTTCGGGTTGTGGAAGGGACCTTAAAGATCATCCGGTTCCACCAGGGCAGGGACATCTCCCACCAGAGCAGGTTGCTGCAAGCCACCTCCAACCTTGGCCTTGAACCTCTCCAGGGATGGGGCAGCCACAGCTTCTCTGGCCAACCTGGGCCAGGCTCTCACCACCCTCCCACCAAACAAGTTCTTCCCCACAGCTCAGCTCCATCTCCCCTCTTCCAGTGTCATGGAATTGTCAGAGTTGGAAGGGACCTCTAGAGATCATCTGGTCCAACTGGTCAAACCCTTCCCCCTCTTCCTAGGGCTCCCCTCCCTCATCCAAAGTCCCCCCCCATCTCTCCTGGAGCCCCCCCTTGAGGGACTGGAAGGGGCTCCAAGGTCTCCCCGGAGCCTTCTCTTCTCCAGGCTGAACCCCCCCAACTCTCTCAGCCCCCACTCCCAGCAGAGGGGCTCCAGCCCTCCCAGCATCTCTGTGGCCTCCTCTGGCCCCATCCAACAGCTCCATGTCCTTCTGCTGTTGGTGGCCCCAGAGCTGGAGAGGCCTCCCCAGAGCTGGAGGTCTCCCCAGAGCGGAGCAGAGGGGCAGAATCCCCCCCTGGCCCTGCTGGCCACGCTGCTGGGGATGCAGCCCAGGATCAAGGGGGGCTTTCTGGGCCGCCAGCACACGTTGGTGGCTCGTGTGGAGCTTCTCATCCACCAACACCCCCAAGTCCTTCTCCTCAGGGCTGCTCTCCAGCCTGGATTCTCCACCAGCCTGGATTTGTGCTTGGGCTGCCCCTTCAGGGCTGCCCTCCAGCCATTCTTCACCCATCCTGGATTTGTGCTTGGGCTGCCCCCACCCAGGGGCAGGATCCTGCCCTTGGCCTTGCTGAACCCCATGAGGGTCACAGGACCCACTTCTCCAGCCTGTCCAGGTCCCTCTGGGTGCCCTCCTGTCCCTCAGACGTGTCACTGCACCTTCAGCTTGCTCTCGTTGGCAAACTCACTGAGGGTGTCCTTGATCCCATTGTCCATGTCATTGATGAAGATATCGACTGGTGCTGGTCCCAGCACGGACCCCTGAGGGCCACCACTTGTCACCCATCTCCAGCTGGACGTTCAGCCACTGACCACCACCCTCTGGATGGGACCATCCAACCAGTTCCTCACCCACCCAACCATCCACCCATCCAATCCCCATCTCTCCAATTTACAGAGAAGGACGTTGGGGGAGGACATGGTGGGGACACCCCACTCTGCTGCCACCAGCTCCAGGTCCCCATGGGGAAATGCCAGCTGTCCCCAACCCTCCATGGGAGACCGATGTCCACCCTGGCAGCCCAGCCTTCACCTCTTCCTCCTCCTCCTCCTCCTCATGGTCCTCCCTTCTTCTCTGGCAGAACGAGGTGCAGAACATCAAGTTCAACAGCTCGGGGCAGTGCGAGGCGCCGCTGGTGCGGACGGACAACCCCAAGAGCTGGTACGAAGACGTGGAAGGTTGTGGCATCCAGTGCCAGAACCCGCTCTTCACCGAGAAGGAGCACCGCGAGATGCACGTCTACATCGCCGCCTTCAGCTCCGTCACCATCTTCTGCACCTTCTTCACCCTGGTGAGACACGGGGCGGGGTGGGGAAACACGACGACGTGAGGAGGTGTCCCCAAAAGGGGACCGGGCACAAAGCTGTCCCTTTTCTTCGCCCCACCAGGCCACGTTTGTCGCCGACTGGAGGAACTCCAACCGCTACCCCGCCGTCATCCTCTTCTACGTCAACGCCTGCTTCTTCGTGGGCAGCATCGGTTGGTTGGCGCAGTTCATGGACGGCGCCCGCGATGAGATCGTGTGCCGGGCCGATGGCACCATGAGGCTGGGGGAACCCACGTAGGTGTCACCTTCCTCCCCATCCCACCCCGGCCACATGCCAAGAGGTGTCCCGGGGATCAAGGAGGGCTCTCGGGGTCCACCAGGAGGATGGAGGATGCTCTGCTCTTGGGGTAGGAGAGAGCTCCTTCCTCCCCGTGTCCCCTCGTGGAGGTTGGTGACACTCCCGTCTCGTCTTCCCTCCGTAGCTCCAACGAGACACTCTCCTGCGTCATCATCTTCGTCATCGTTTACTACTCGCTGATGTCGGGTGTCATCTGGTTCGTCATGTTGACCTACGCCTGGCACACCTCCTTCAAGGCGCTGGGCACCACCTACCAGCCGCTGGTGGGCAAGACCTCCTACTTCCACCTCATCACCTGGTCCATCCCCTTCGTCCTCACCGTGGCCATCCTGGCCGTGGCGCAGGTAACGGGACCGCGATCCCGTGTCCTGGTGGTCCTCTTTCCAGGGTGATGTGCGTAGGGAGGGGTGGCCGCAGCCAAGTGACCTCCCAACTTGGTTGTCCCCCATCTCTGCCAGGTGGATGGTGACTCTGTCAGTGGCATCTGCTTCGTGGGCTACAAGAATTACCGCTACCGGGCCGGCTTCGTCCTGGCGCCCATTGGGCTCGTCCTCATCGTTGGGGGCTACTTCCTCATCCGGGGTAGGTGGGGGCTCACCCCGATGCGGGGACAGGGCCACCATGGGTGTCTCTCCCCACCCTCACCACCTCGTTCCTCCACCTCAGGGGTCATGACGCTCTTCTCCATCAAGAGCAACCACCCCGGGCTGCTGAGCGAGAAGGCGGCCAGCAAGATCAACGAGACCATGCTGCGGTTGGGTAAGCGGGGCACCACCACCACCATTCCAGTTGGAATTTGGGTGGGAAGAGGGACATTTTGTCCCTTGAACCCAGACAGCCCCATCCCACCTTCCCAGGGATGGCTGTGGTGGGGGACAAAGCTGTAGTGACAGTGGCACAGCCCCCGGTGTGGCATCTTTCTCGTGGTGTCACTTGGGTTTGGTTGAACCGGGGATGTCCTGCTTCTCTTCCAGGCATCTTCGGCTTCTTGGCCTTCGGCTTCGTCTTCATCACTTTTGGCTGCCACTTCTACGACTTCTTCAACCAGGCGGAGTGGGAGCGCAGCTTCCGGGAATACGTCCTGTGAGTGGGACAGGGGACACCGAGTGGGACCCTGGTGGCATCCCAGCACCTCGTGTTTAGCTGGGGATGTTGGGAGAGTGGAGAATCCCATGTTCCCCACCAGCGTGGCCACCACATCTCCACTCTGCAGAGCCCTGGGGCATCATTGGGTGTCCCTCTTCTTAGGGCCACCGTCCCCCATCTGTCCCCACAGGTGCGAGGCCAACGTGACCATCGCCACGCAGACCAACAAGCCCATCCCGGACTGTGAGATCAAGAACCGGCCGAGTCTTCTGGTGGAGAAGATCAACCTCTTCGCCATGTTCGGCACTGGCGTCTCCATGAGCACCTGGGTCTGGACCAAGGCCACCTTGCTCATCTGGAAGCGCACTTGGTGCAGGTGGGACCCCTTGGGATGTCACCCCATCTCTGTGTGACCCTTCCTGCCCCATCCAACGTCCCGAGATGTTGGAGGTCGTCCCCAAGAGTTGCGTCCCATCAGCTCAATGGGTTGTGGGCTCGCAGCAGGCAGCGGTTCGGGAGTGGGGTGGCCTCTCCCACTTTGCTGGTGTCTCGTGTCCTGTTTGTGGGACACCTCCATCCCCGTGTCCTGTTTGTGGGACGCCTCCATCCCCATGTCCTGTTTGTGGGACGCCTCCATCCCCAGGGAGGACCCCTCCAGTGCAGTCCCCAACCCTTGGTGTCCCCATCCAGAGGAAGGGAGGGAGATGGAGAAGGTGGGGTGGCCTCTCCCACTTTGCTGGTGTCTCGTGTCCTGTTTGTGGGACACCTCCATCCCCGTGTCCTGTTTGTGGGACGCCTCCATCCCCATGTCCTGTTTGTGGGACGCCTCCATCCCCAGGGAGGACCCCTCCAATGCAGTCCCCAACCCTTGGTGTCCCCGTCCAGAGGAAGGGAGGGAGATGGAGAAGGCCCCCGTGCCCCCCACCTGCCATACCTTGGGGTTACGTGCCCCACCATGTCCCTGCTGTGACCTGCCATTGTCCCCAGGCTGACGGGACAGAGTGACGACCAACCCAAGAGGATCAAGAAGAGCAAGATGATCGCCAAAGCCTTCTCCAAGCGCAAGGAGCTGCTGCGCGACCCAGGCCAGGAGTTGTCCTTCAGCATGCACACCGTCTCGCACGACGGCCCCGTGGGTAGGTGCCCGTGGGGAGGGGGCCACCTCGGCAGCACCCTGGGGGGTCCCCAATGTCCCCCTCCCTTGACCGGGGCTCCCCCCCGATGTCGTTGCAGCTGGATTGGCGTTTGACATCAACGAGCCGTCGGCTGATGTGTCCTCGGCGTGGGCCCAGCACGTCACCAAGATGGTGGCCAGGAGAGGGGCTATCCTGCCCCAGGACGTCTCCGTGACACCCGTGGCGACACCTGGCAAGTCATAGAATCATAGAATCACACGGGGTTGGAAGGGACCTCTGGAGATCATCTAGTCCAAACCCCCTGCCAAAGCGGGTCTACCTAGAGCAGGTCCCACAGGAACGTGTCCAGGCAGAGTTGGAATGTCTCCAGAGATGGAGACTCCACCAACTCTCTGGGCAGCCTCTTCCAGGGCTCTACCACTCTCACAGGAAGGAAGTTCCTCCTCATGTTTAGGTGGAACTTCTTATACTCAAGTTTGTGCCCGTTCCTTCTTGTCCTGTCACTGGGCACCACTGAAAAAAGACCAGCCCCATCCTCCTGACACCCACCCTTGAAGGATTTTGAGGTGTTGATCAGATCCCCCCTCACTCTGCTCTTCTCAAGGTTAAACAGACCCAAGTCCCTCAGCCTTTCCTCAGCAGAGAGATGCTCCAGGCCCCTCAACATCTTTGTAGCCTCTGCTGTCCCCTCTCCACCAGCTCCCCGTCCTTCTGGAACTGGGGAGCCCACAACTGGTCCCAGTTCTCCAGCTGGGGCCTCCCCAGGGCAGAGCAGAGGGGCAGGATCTTGAGGACCACGTGGGACCATCTCTTGGGGGGAACACAAGCCAGGCCCAGGGGTGTTGGGGTTGTGTGGGGAGACAGAGATGGGGGGCTGGAGCTGGCTGGGGGAGGACGGGGGGGGTGCAGGGCAGCTCTCACCACCCCCGCTCTGTCCCTTGTCCCCCCCGCAGTGCCACCAGAGGAGAGGGCCAACCTCTGGGTGGTGGAAGCCGACGTCTCCCCCGAGTTGCAGAAGCGCAGCGCCCGCAAGAAGAAGCGGAGGAAGAAGAAGAAGGAGGAGGTGTACCCAGACCCCCAACGCTGCCCGGGGGGGGGTCCAGCAGTACCCCCAGCCCCCAGCGCCGTCCCACGCCTGCCTCGGTTGCCCCCCCAGCCCTGCCTGGTCACCTTCTCCCCCGACGTCCTCCCGGGGCTCCAACCTGAAGCCTCTTTCCCCGGGGGGGTGCCGTGGGACGGGCGCCGCCGAGCCAACGTCTTCCACCTCATCAGCAACCCCTTCTGCCCCGAGAGTGGCTCCCCAGAGGAGGAGGAGGAGGAGAGCCCTGGTCCCAGCAACAGGCACAGGCAGCAAAATGGGGGGCCGCTGTGGCCCCCCAACCCCCTGCCCCACGGCGGGGGGGTGAGGACTCACGGCCGACGCACCGGCTTGGCCCCCATCCACTCTCGGACCAACCTGGTGGAAGCGGAGCTGCTGGACGCCGATTCGGACTTTTAAGCCCCAGGGGGGGACAAGGACACTTGGGGTGAGACCCAAAGCCCCCTCCAGCCTGCGAGGGGACACCGAAGCCCCCCCC